TTATATATATATATATATACAATATTCTTATAAGAAATATATAAAGATGTACTTTTATGATTTAATATATACATTATATATATGTGCATACATTTTTTTTTTTTTTGTTTGATATATAAATTTTTTAATTTATAAACATATTTTTTAATTTGGTATAATTTTATTTTTTATAAAATGTTTATATTTTTTTTTTTTTTTTTTTTAAGATTGTTATAAAAACGTAATAATATAAAAAAAAAAAAAAAAAAAAAAAAAAAAACTTTTTACAAAATAATGTAATAAAAAATGCTTTCAAATATTAAACACTGCAAATGCTTGAATTTACAAAAAATTTTAAAACATACAAATATAAAAAATAAATATTTTATATATTTTAGCTTTTGTAATGTATATAATGAAAAAAATATAAACTATTTTGATTATGATGAAGATTTAAAATTACTAAAAAGACTTCAAAATAATGAAATTGATGATATTTTAAATATAAATGATGAAAGAAATATTTTAAAAATTAAAAAGGTACAAGAAATTTTACATATTTACTTTTATTCAGAATAATAATAAAATATCTAAATATTCTTTATTTTTAATTAGTATATATATATATATACTTATGTAATTTTTTATTAACTAGAAATATTTAAAATTGTTAAAAGTGTATCATCCTGATGTCTACATGAAGGAAAAAAATGAAAAAAGAAAGAAAAATAAAGAAGAAATTTTTCTTCAGATATATAAAAAATATAAAAGTATAAATGAAAAATACCAAAACACTTATGATACAGATATAAATGATGAATCTATTTATGAAAATGAAGAAGAAAAAAGTAATAATAATAAAAAAAAAAATATATATATATATATATAAACTACATTCTTCATATCAATATATATATTTTTTTAGATCTTTTATTAATTTATTATTATAAATTATTTGTTTTATAATTTAATTATTATTTTAATTTCTTTTTATTCATATATTATTCCTTATTAATATATTTTATTTCTATAAAGGTGAGAGATTAGAAAAATACAAAAGATATTCAGAAGGAAAAAGGAATGATGTAAACCATAAGTATTTAGAAATTTATATTTTAATAGGCATTTTATCAACATTTTGTGTAGTTTTTTTAATATGTATTTATTTACCTTTTAATATAGATAATTACAAAGAAGAGTATAAAATAAAAAGAATAAAAGAACAATTTAAAAAAAAATAATAATATACATTTTCATGTTAGTTTATAAAAGTATTATAACTTTTTTTTTTTTTTTTTTAGATTTCATGATAGTTCTGAAAATAATAAAGTTGAAATTCTTTCTTGCTTTTATAATCCTGCTATGAAACGATATGAATATTTTTCAGATAATTTTTTGCCACCTCATCCATATCAATTATATCATGTAAAATGAATAAAGAAAAAAAAAAAAAACAGAAAATAATTTTAATTAAAAATTTAAAAATTTTTATTTTTTTTTTTATTTTTTTTTTTTGAAGTTTTATAAAAATATGTTCCCTAATTTATCTTTAGACGAAGACATTTTAAAGCTGAAATACTTTGAAGTTGTAAAGGTAATAAAAATAATAATTAATAAAAAAAAAAAAAAAAATTACGAAAAAACTATTTATTATATATATTTCCTTATTTATATTTTATATGGCAACTTTTTTAAATAATAAAATGAATTTTTTTTTTTTTTTTTTTCTTGTGGGATCAGTTACCAAAAAATCGTGCAAAGAAAGCCAGGCTTTTATACGACAAGAAAAGAAACGAACTTATTTTTTTAAAAAAAAAAAAAAAAATACAATTAAAAAAAGAATAAAGCATAAATACTTATATATAAAGTAATAAAAGTCAAGAATAAAAAAAAAAAAAATAAAAGTTAAAAAAATTAAATTCTTTAAGAATTATATGTAGCGGTTAATAATTACCTATTTTTATAAATGATGACTTAATACATAAACATAAGTATATTTTAAATAAAAAAAAAAAAAAAGAAAAAATTTGCATAAAATAAATGATATTTTATTTGTATCATATCTAGCATATATATTTAAAACCATTTATTAATTTCTCGTTATTAATTCACCATTAATTTTTTTTATTTTTTTCCATTTAAATTTATTCCATCTTCTTCACTTTCTTCTTCGTTTTCCTCTTCATTTTCTTCTTCATTTTCATCTTCGTTTTCCTCTTCATTTTCTTCTTCACTTTCTTCTTCATTTTCTTCTTCATTTTCTTCTTCATTTTCTTCTTCATTTTCTTCTTCATTTTCTTCCTCATTTTCTTCTTCATTTTCTTCTTCATTTTCATCAGATACCTTTTCGTTTGTGTTGTTTTCATTTTCATAGTTATCTAAATTATTTACATCCATTTTATTTTCATTAGTTTCATTTTCATTTGTTTCATATTCGTTTTCATTAGATTCAGCTTCGTTTGTTTCTACTTCACTTATTTCTTCTTCTATTTTATTTGTATTTTCATTATTCGAATTATATAAGCATTCATCATTTTTTTCAGTTTTTGCTTTTTTTTTCTTTGTTGTTTCTTTTGAATACTTTACTTCTTTATCAGTTGTATTATTTACATTTAAATTATTATCATAATCTCTTATAATTAAATTTGGAATTTTAGCTTGGTATTTTTCTCCTACATTTATTTTGCCATCAACTTTTGACATATATTTTCTTTTTGCCATTTTTCTTTTTAAAATAATAAAACAAAAATTTCAAATAAAAATAAAATATAAAGGTATAAAGATATTTTATAAAATATATTTAATTTTTTATTTATAATCAAAAGAAAAAATTTAATCAAAATATAAAAGGAAAGTTTTGATTCAGAATAAAATTATATAAAATAAAAAAAAAAAAAAAATCATAAAAAATTTCTCATTAAAATTTTTTTTTTTTTCTTTTTTATTTTAAATATATATAAATTTTTATTTCATAATTTTTATATATATATATATATATAGTTTAAAAAAAAAAACTGTATATTCATTTATTAAATTTTTTCGAATCAAAAAACAATTCAAGAAATAAATAAAAAAAAAAAATTGTCATTTCTTTATAACATGCTTTAAATTTTTTGTTGACTTATTTTAAATATGATAAAAGTTAATCGATTTTAAATTTTATTTAATAAAACAACTATACTTAATTAAAAAAAAGAAAAAAAAATTGAAACATGTTTTAAAGCGCTATAATTATTTTTGTGCATCTTTTAAGCTCCTTTTTATGTTTATATAATGAAAGATAATGAAGGTATGTATAAACATAAAATTTTAAAATGTAATTTATTTAAAATATAAAAAGTTAAATTATATAAAGATAAAAATATATATTATTAATTTTAATTTCTTTAAATTACGATGAAAAAATAAATTTAGATAATATTTTACAAACTTTTTTGGGGTCTACCTTTGCTTCCACTATAAGTAGAACTTTATTATATCCGTTAGACACAGTTAAAACAAATAAGCAAGTTCATATTAATAATTACAAAACTGATCAAAATTTTAATAAAAATTTTTTTTTTTCATTTATTAAAAAATTTGGTTATAAAGGATTATATAAAGGTTTTTTGTATGCATAATATTTCTTAATAGAAAAAAGTTTAATTACTATAATTACATTAATATATGTATAATTTGTATATTTATTTTTTTTTTTTTTTTTTTAAATAATTTTTTAGTTTTTCATCTTTGACAACCATTCCAGCAACAAGTTTATACTTTTGTTCTTTTGAATATTTAAAATTAAAAAGAACTAATTTCAAAAAAAAATATACAGAAAAATATGGAGATGAAAATACTGACTATTTAAATTTCTTCGATTATTTTTCTTTAGGTATTCTAATTTCAAGAATGTTCTTTTAAATGATTATTAGAATATATATGGATATATATTTAATTATTTATTTTATTCCCCTTTTTTTTTTTCATAGGTTTATTAGCTGAAGCTATATCATGTATTATATTTGTTCCAATAGATGTTGTTAAAGAAAGGATGCAAGTATTAAAATACATCAATAAAAAAAAAAAAAAAAATGAAGAAAGGAATTATGAGATATTTAACATTAATATTTTAAAAATTTTTTTCTTTTATTTTTTAAGGCACAAAAATATTTAGAATTAAAAGAATATAATAAATCTTACTATTTAATAAAGGATCTAATTAATAAAGAAGGATTATTTAGAGTAATCTTTATATTCTTTAAGTTCAATTTTTTTTAAATTTATTCCTTTTTCTTTCTGTACCTATATTTCTTTTTCTTTTATAAATTTTTAGTTGTATAGAGGATACAGTTCTACATGCTTGACTTATGGTTTGTTTGGTGGATCTTTTTTCTTTTTTCAAAATGTAAAATATTTAATTGATAAAAATGAAAAAGTAAAAATTATGTTGAATTATAACTTTTTTTTTAATAATTTTATTTTTTAAATATTAATTCATTAGATTGGGAATAAACTGATGAAGAAATTAAACATAGAATCATCAAATTTTAATATATTTCAATTAAACCTTATTTGTTCATTTTTATCTGGTTTAATAACATCTCCCCTTGATATAGTTAGAATAAGGTTTTTTTATTTATATATTTTTCACTTTTAATACTTTACATTGGTTATTTGTTCCTTTTTTTAATTTATTTTTTCTATTGTTTTTGTAATATTTCATGTTCATATACAACTGTTCATTTTTTTTTTATAATATATTTTTATTTATAGGTTTCAAATTCAAGAAAAAAATAAAACATTGTTCTATTACAATAATTCCTTTGACGTAAGAGAAAAAAAAAAAAAAAAAAAATTCATATAAATATATATACATTAAATACAAATAATATTTAATTTTCACATAATATTGATTTTAATTTTTTCTGGCATCTTATAATAGGGAATAAACAAGTTGTTGAAAGAAGGAAACATTTTCAATTTATTTAAAGGAAATTTATATAGATGTAGTTTAGTCTGCCTTAGTATGTCAATAAATGTAACTATTATTGAAATGTTTAAAAAAATTATCAATTCAAATACAAATAAAATATAAAATATTAATTTTTCATGAGGGTAAAAATATTTTCATTTAATAACTTTTAATTAACTTTCTAGTTTTCTTTACTTGGGGATGTTTTTTTTTTTTTTTTTTTTTTTTTTTTTTAAACCTCTTTATTACATTTTTAAACCATAAATTTTAATTTTGTTATGAATTAACTATATTANAAAAAAAATACATTTAACTTCTTATAGGTTGTATATTTATTTTGTATATATATATATAATAACAGGAGAAACAAACATAATTTTATTAAGAATGGTGTGCATAAATACATATTTATGTTTACATAAGATTAAAAATTATTAATTTTTTTTTTTTTTTTTTTTTTTTTTTTTTCTAAACCTCTTTATTACATTTTTAAACCATAAATTTTAATTTTGTTATGAATTAACTATATTATTCACTTTTATATTATATTAATACCTTTTTATGGCTACATGCATATATATATATAATGTTTTTATTATATTTCTAAAAAAAATAGTAATGAGTACGAAAAAAAAAAAAAAAAAAAAAAAAAAAAAAAAAAAAAAAAAAAAAAAAAATTAATAATTTTTAATCTTATGTAAACATAAATATGTATTTATGCACACCATTCTTAATAAAATTATGTTTGTTTCTCCTGTTATTATATATATATATACAAAATAAATATACAACCTATAAGAAGTTAAATGTATTTTTTTTTTTTTTTTTTTTTTATTAAATATACTTATATATACGTTCATTCTTTAGAGTTTTTTTCAGTTTAATTATATGTTGATAAAATTCTTAAATTATTTAAAGTTCTTCAATATGTAATATGATTTTTTATATTATCTTTTTTAATTCAATTTTTTTTTTTCTTTTTATGAAACATGTTTAGTTTTTTTCATATAATATACATATATATATATACTACTTTATATTTTCAAAATTTTCTAAAAAATTTATGAATGAAAAATGTAATATCTTAACCTTTTAATTCTTTTTAATTTTATGTAATTTTATTCATATATTATGTATATTTCATTAACTTTTAATAAATAATATATTACAATTTCTTAATATGTTTTTATGAAAATAACTATATCTATATCTATCTATCTATATATATATATATATATATATATATATATATATATATATATATATATATATATATATATATATATATATAAATTCATTTATTTATTCCTTAAGTTTTAATATTATTTTATTTCACTTATACAATTAATATATATATATGGATAATTTACATATTTTATTATTCACATTTTGTTATAACTCATAAAAGATTCATAATTTCTTAATATTCGCTTTTTCACACAAATCTATCAATGAATTATTAAATTTCTTTTCTAATTCTTTTTGAAAACTAAAAATGTTTATATCATTTTTATCACATTCATTTTTTTTATTGTCATCAGATATAAAATTTAATTGATTACTTAATGCTTCTGCATACTTTAAATTAATGTCATTTAATGCATTTTTATTATAAGCATATAAATTTTCATCATTTAATAATTTTTTAAAATTATTATTAGTTGAAACATTCAATTCGTTTATATTATTGCTATTTTTATATTTGTCATTATTTATTTTTTGATTATTTAAAACATTCTTATTTTTATTCATGTTAATCAATGATAATAAATTGGAAGCATTATCATTATAAGAATTATTTTTTTTTAAGAAATTTTCTGTATTTATTAAAGGATTATATTCTAATAAATTTTTTTCATTAACTTTTACATTGGATATATTATTATTTATCATTAATAATTTATTCATATTTGTTATATTGTTTGCATCTTTGTTCACTTCTCTTTCATTATTGATGGATTTTAAATTATTTAATTCTTTTGTTAATTTATTTAAATTTGCAGAATTATTCATATTTGAAATTTTCCCATTTATGGATGGATTAGAATGCAAAATGTTATCACTTCCGTTATTTATATAATTTGTTATGTTCCCATTTATATATTTATTTTGTGATATATTATTCTTCATATTATTAAAATTCGAATCTAAATTGTTATTTAATGAACTATTTAATTGATTAATATTAGCTGAATTATTCATTGGGTTAGTAATATCTGTAGAATTATTAATTTTATTTGAATTAACAGTATTACTTATATTAGTTGCATTCACTGAATTGTTCTTTATTTTATTTGTTTTAATTATGTTATGAATTTTATTCATCTTCATAGGGTTACTTAATTGATTATTATTATTCAATGAATTGTTTATTTTATTTGTGTTTACTGAATTACAATATAAAGGATTTGCGTTAATTGAATTTAATTTATTATTATTATTATTGCTATTATTAGTAGTAGTAATAGTACTATTACTAGTAATACTATTAGTAGTATTATTACTATTATTATTATTATTAGTAGTAGTAGTAGTAGTAGTATTAGTATTATTAGTATTAGTAGTTGTAGTATTATTACTATTATTATTATTATTACTATTATTAGTAGTAGTATTATTAGTATTAGTAGTTGTAGTATTATTACTATTATTATTATTATTACTATTATTAGTAGTAGTATTATTAGTATTAGTAGTTGTAGTATTATTAGTATTAGTTGTAGTTGCATTATTATTATTATTATTATTATTATTATTATTATTATTATTGCTACTACTAATATTATTATTATTATTATTACTATTATTATTATTACTTACAATAAAATCTTGATGAGGAGTTATTACATTCATTTTTTGATTATTATGAATAATATTAGAAATATTTTTTAACTCTTCGGATAAGGAAGAATTATTTTTTGAAAACGTCATATCCCAATAATTTTTAAATTCTTCATACAAAATGTTTTGATCCACTTTAGTAGTATTAATATTTTTTGAGTTAGTTAAATTGAAATCATCTTTAAAACAATTCAAATTTGTTAGCATATTATCTAACTTTTCATAACATTTTAATATTTTGTTATATATATCCGAAGGTATATATTTACATATACTTTGATTTAATATCAATTCTTCTAATAATAAAGAAGTATTTAGTATATCTACTTTATATTTATCAAAAATATTTTTTAATTCAATTAATTTGAATTCTCTATTGTTTTTATTATCTAATTCATTTTTCATCATATTCTGATTAAAGATAGAAATAGCATTTTCATTCGTTATATTTCTATTATTATTTTCTATACAAAATGATGAATTATTATCATTTAAATTTTTTGTTATAGATCCCATAAAATTATTTAATTCTAATTCTCTATTATTTACATCTAAGTTTAGTTTTTGTATTCTTAAATTTTTTAATGAGTTTTTATTAATTAAATTATTCATGTTATTATTACTAGTATTTGGATTTTTAGAAATTTGGTTGTTATTACTTTTAATACCTGCAATATCAATACTATTATTTAAATTGTTTTTGCAATCATTATTATTTAAAATATTCACATTATTTTTATTAAAAATTATATCTTTTGTATCATTTAATTCGTTCATATTACTAGACTCCACTTTTTTTTTATTTTCAATTATTCCATTATTATTAATATTATTTATATGTATATTATCAACAGAATTGTTATTATTTTCACTATTTATTTTTGTTGGTAAAAATGCATCATTTTTATTTATTTGCTTATTATTTCTATTTATCTGATTAAAATTAGAATTATTCATATATGAACTATTATTAATAGAAAATAAAGAATTATGTTCTAACGTTGAAGTAACATTATTATTATTATTATTGTTTATATTCATATTTTTATCATTATTAATATTAGTATTTTTCGAAAGATTGGGATTTGTATAATTCATTTTATCAAAACCACCAACATTTTTACTCAATTCATTAAGATTATTCTTTATTTTCATATGTGAATATACTGACATATTTTTATTTGATCTTATATTACTATCTATTTTATTATCATCCATACGTAAATTATTATTTTCATTATAACCACGAGGATTTTTTTTTTTTTCATTAAAAGCATTTATTAATAATTCGTAAATGTTTACATTATTTTCTTTGTTAGATGTGGAATTATTACTTTCTATATCAACAGTTTTATTTAAATTATCTTTAATATTATTGACATTCATAACTTTATTCTCAATATTTGAATACATTATATTTTCTAAATTTTTTAAATGATCATTCATAATATAGTTACCATTGTTATTATTTTTATTCATTTCTATACTTTTCAAAAAATTAAAATCTGTTCTTTTTTCTAATACGTCAAGATCATTCATATCTAATACTTTTAAATTTAATTTTTTATAATCATTAATTGCATTATATTGATTTTTGTTTATTTCATTATTTTTTTTCAGATAAATGTTATTTTCATTGAAATATTCATCTTTATTTAAATTTATATTTATAGTATTATTATTATTATTATCTACATTACAAATTTTATTAATATTCTCATTTGATAATGATTTTACTGATTTTATATCGTATATATCATATGAATTATTATTTTGTATATTCAAATTATTATCAATATTATTTTCATATAATAAATTATTTATATCAATATTTTTATTAACATTATTAACTGCTTTCATTCCATTAACTATATTCCCATTGTCTATATCTTTATTTAACAATGGAACATAATTATTTATTATATTATTTTTTCCTGTATTTTCATTATTTATATAATTATTTCTTTTATATATATTATTCATTTTAGAATTTTTATTTATTGTATCATTCATATTTACAGAATATATTCTATTTCTATATGTATTGTTATCAATATCATTATTATTATTATTATTATCATTATTGTTAGACATATTTTTCTTTTTATTATCTTCTATTTTATTTTTGTTGCTTTCATAATTATTTATATTTTCATTTAATCTATTATTATTATTATTATTATTGATATTATTTTTTTTTTTTATTTTTGAATCAAGAAAACTTTCATCATTACAGTTACCATTAAAAATATCATTTACTTTTTGATTATTTAAATCATTGTTTATATTATTTTTATCATTTACTAAATTATTATCATTATTAACATGTTTTATTTCATTTATTTTATTGTTTTTTTCATTATCACTACTACTATTAAAATCAGTCTTCTTTTTTACATTGTTAACTGTTACATTTTTTTTTTCTTTTATTTGATTAATATTATTAAAGTTTTTATTTTTACCATCATTATCTATTTGTTTATCTGACAAAAATATTGTATTTTTATTTTTTTCCATAGTTCTGTTCATATTCTGTTCATTTTTCATGTTTACTTTTTTTTTATCTATATCAGTATTATTATTTTTTTTTTCATCCATATCACAATTTAATTCGTCTTTTGTATTTTGTAAATATTTAGAATATTTTTCTTTAATAAATTGTTGAAAAAATAATTTATTAAAATCAAATTTAATATTTTTATCTGTCTTATTATTAATTAATAAATCAATGATATAACTATGTTCATCTTGTATATATTTATTTATTTGATTAACAGTAACACATAATGGAAGAATAAAATTAATATCTTGTTCATATAAATATTCAAAAAAAGAATAAATATTTGAAGAAGAAGTTAAATATAAAACTTCTGTAAAAATTGTTTTTTTACTTTTTTTAACGTCTGTTTTATTAATTTCTTTTTTATTGTTTTCAATAATTATTTCTTTGTTACTAATTTTAAAAATATATGTAGACCACAAAATAGAAAATTGAATCATTTGTAATGTCTCGTGAGATATATCATAATATTCATTTGCTAATTTAATTTGTTCATCAGTTAAGAAAGAGGATTTTAAAAAATTTTTTTTTTTTTCCTTAAAATTTTTTGGAACACTTAAAAATTCAATAATACCTAATTCAGATAGTTTATCCCATATATTTAATTTTAAATTTACCATCTTTTGCCTAATTATCTCACTTTTTTGACATACTATTTTTAATTCATTAGCTACGTAGCTACACATTAAGCATATAAAAGAATCATTAAAAGTATAATTTTTATCTTTATTTTTATCATTATTATTTTTTAATAATTTATTATTATATAAATAAAGTAATCCTGGAAAACTAAATGGCAAAAATGCTTTATCCTTCCATAATTCTTTCATATCTAGAACTGCACTACAATCTAATATAATATATAGAGGCAAACTATTTACATTATTAATTAAATTCATCTTATCTTTATTATAAATATCAGATTCTATATTTGCATTGGTATTTAAACTATTATTTGCATCCTCCTTATTGTTAATATTATTCTTATTATTATTATTATTATTATTTTTTTTTTTTTTTTTCTTTTTTTTATTTTTATTATTACTTTCTTCATTATTATTAACTATTTTATTAACAAAAGAATCATCCGAATTAATTAAATTATTCTCATTATTTTTTATACCTTTTCCAGTATCTTCAAAAACTTTCATCTCCTTAAAATTATAATCATCATCTTCTTCCACTTCATCATCTTCTTCTTCATCATCTTCTTCCACTTCATCATCTTCTTCTTCATCATCATCTTCTTCTTCATCATCATCTTCTTCTTCGTCATCTTCTTCATCATTATTATTATCATCATCTTCATCAGCTTCTTCCTCCTCTTCTTCATTGGCTTCTTCTTCTATGTAATTTTTATTTGTTATTTTATTATCATTTTTCATTTTTTCTTCTACATTTTTTTTTTCTAAATTATTTTCTATCTTCTCATTAGCATCAGCAGGGGAAAATTCTTTTTTTTCCTCTTTTATTTTTCCATTTGTTAAATTTTCTTTTTGATGTATAAACATATAAACGTGCATAATTGGAGTATTTCTAATCGTAGCATTCAAACATTTATATGGGCAACATCTTTTATCACTTTTTAAAGCAGAACATATAATTAAGTTACTTTTGTATCCTCTTTTTTTTTTTGCAAATTCCTCAACTTCTTTTAATAATTCTTTAGGATTTTGAATACAATTATATTCTAATCTTATCCATACCGGTATTTGAATATGTTTATATGGATTCTGATATTTATCATATCTAGGATAGACATAATTACTATCTCTTTTCGCTTGAACAAAACTTAATAATAACTCTTTGCATGTATTGTCTTGTATAAAATTATGAGATAAATGCAATTCTTCCATTGGAATTTTTTGAATATAAACTAACTGTTTAATTAATGATACACCATCATCTTTTATGCTGTTTTTGTATATTTTTAAAATGTTTATACCTATATTTTCATTGTAATTTAATACATATTTTAATAATGTTTTTAATCCTAAACATGTTATATGATTTTCACTAAGATCAATATTTAAGCAGTAATAAGTATTATACACTATTTTTATTATTTTTTTTAGTATTTTTACTAGTTCTAAAATATGACTATCATATAAAGATTTATTATTTAAAGAAATATCTAAATATCGTAATTGTTTCTTCCCTTTATTACTTTTAAAGGTAAGTTTCTTACTTTCTCTTATATATGACTCCATTTTTTTTTTTTTTTTTTCTTTTATTTCTTTAAATTACGTCATGTATTTAAAATATTACATTTATATTTTTATTTTTGTTTTCATTTATGTTTCATTTATTTTATTTTTTTTTTTTTTTTTTTTTTTTTTTTTTTTTTTTTTAAATAAAAAAAAAAAAATAAAAAAAAAAAAAATAATTTAAAATAATCTTTTTTCTTTATATATATATATAATTTCTATTCCTTTAAAAAGTATCCTGCAAGGTTTACTCTTTGATAATAACATTATATTAGGCACACTTATTTATTTGTTCATAAAATTATATTATTCAATATATCATTTGCATAATAATAGTAAAAAAAAAAAAAAAAAAAAAAAAAAAAAAAAAAAAAAAAAAAA